ATTTTCACGGCCAGAAAAAACCGATTTTGTTTATGCTGTATAAAAATCAGAGTATATCTTTTAATGAAAAGGTTGCGGAATTTGTTCCCAGTAAAACATGATAAATATGTTTTCAAAGCATTTCTGAAGAAAAGTATTTTTTTATTCATTTTAAAACATTTGGGATGTCATTGTCAATACAGAAACATAAACATCAATAGAACTTACATTCATTATCATTAGTGATTTATATCTCCTTAATCTCTCAGTGTAATGTAACTTCATATCGACACCTGTGATATAAATAAATTGAGTGGGTCAGGTTGGGAAACCTGGTGAGTACATAGGGTTTTCAACCCACAATAATATAATTATTATGTTTAAACAATCAAACAATCAACCCAATTACCCATCACCATTATCTTCTTACTCTTAAGGATCTATCCTAAGAGTCATCTATCATGAATTCGTTTATTCCGAGGTCCCTTGCTTCCAGGGTTATAGGACTAGCACTAAATCCATAGCTACCAATGCTCGTTCGTAAAGCACTAATTCCATAGCTGCTATAGTTTATTCATCGGGTGCTAAATCCATAGCTACCAGTGTTTATCTATTAGGTACTAAGTCCATAGCTACCAATTCCTAGCAGGTACTAAGTCCATAGCTACTAGTGTTTATCTACTAGGCACTAAGTCCATAGCTACCAATTCCTAACAGATACTAAGTCCATAACTACCAGTATTTGTCCAATAGGCACTAAGTCTATAGCTGCCAATGTTTACTCACATCATCTTTTTTTTGGATTAATGTCTAAGTCCATAACTATATTTGGTATGTACTTGACCCGACAAGGCATGGTCCATTTGGGTTGCACTTCACCGCCACAATTTATATGAATAGTCTTTTGAGAATAGTATATTTATGATTTATATTAGTATATTATAAGTTCTAATATATTAATAAGGAATCATATTATTTAATTAGTATTATCAAGACTTAATTTAGAATTAATTAAGTGGTCAAAATGAACTAATTAAATATAGACTCTTATATATATGGAATGGGCCAAGTTCATTTAGGTTGGGCTAAGCTTTCATGGATAGTCCATGGAGTCTTTAATCCATGGATCATATGAAATGAAAGTTCATGGGTTTAACCCTAGTCTCCATACTATATAAAGATGTCCTTGGTAATTGGTGAAATTGGCACTAGTGTGGGTACACTATGAAGGGCTAGCCGATTTCACTAGAGAGAACCAAGTATCCATATTCTCTAAAGTCTTCCAAGGTGTTTTGGTGATTTGTGATTCCACTTAAGGCTTCCACATTATTGGGGCTAAGCTCTTAAAGCTTGAAGACATCAAACTACATCAAAAGGTATGTCATCTAACTAGTACTTTGTAGTATAAGAACTTCATAATATGCTAGTTAGGATTAAAGCCTTGGAAAGATCTTATTTGCATGTATAATAGAGAAAAACATAGATCCAAGGTTTATAGGGTTGCATGTACACCATAGGAGTGTTAAAATGCTCATAAAACAACACTTTTATCTCTCATCATTCATCTACACATGTCATGCTCAACATATTTGTATATATAAAATAGGTATACAATTTAAGTAATTTAAAACATGTATAAAAATGTTCATCCAGCATAGACAACAAGTATTCAGATAATATGCACACATAACACATAGATTATATAATATACTTCATATCTATGTGTAAAATGAAAGTAACCATGCACTCACTTGATACGGTGGTGACTCGGTACTCGAACAACACTTCGTTACTCTTAAAATAATTTCCCTCAACAAAACCTAGTATCATTACCACCAGGGTTTAGTTTAGTATTTATCGAGACTAATTTAATAGTATAGTTGTTATTGTTATTACATAAGCATTAAACAAAACTATATAGCTCATAATAATAGTCCAAATAATTATTTTAAGGTCCTAATAATGTTGCTATAATTAATTAGAAGCTATATTAAAAACAGCGTAGGCGCAGCTCACTTCCAACGGGTTTTATCGAAAACCGGGCTTCGCTTGGAGCAGCGTTTCGAAACCGAAAGACCCTTTCTTCTCGGGACTCCGGGAGCCTCGGGGCTTCCCTCGGGTGCTAGGGGTTTTTCCTCGCCTGTCTTTTTTTTTATCATTACGCTATTATCGGGTTGTACACTGCTAAGCCGAAACTTCGAAAAATCATAACTTCCTCATACGAAGTCAGATTTGGGCGTTCTTTTTATGGTAGCTCTCGGTTTAATGTATTCTATGACTTTTGTTTAGATCACTAAGGCAAAAAAGGCCTCTATCGTAAATTCACTATTTACGGTTTCCGGTATTGTGTCGGTTCCGCCGCGAAACTTCGACGGGTCACAACTTCTTCGTTATAACTCGGAATTTGGTGTTCTTTATATGTACGGAACCCTTGTAACATGTACTACAACCTGGTTAAGATTATTTATTCGAAATAATCTTTTGTCAAAAAGTCGTTTTCGACCCCTATTATCTCTTAATTGACTAGCCCGGATCTACGGGTGTTACACAATGCAACTCCTCAAAATTTTCTCCAATTCAAAATTCTCCATAACCGAGAGAATATCACATTTTGAGGACTTCCTAGCAAAAAGTCACACGAGTGGTCCCTGTGGTTTGTAAAATTACATGAAAGGTCCACCTGCCGTTAAATCTAACTTTTCAGTCGTTAGATTTGAATGGAAAAGACTATTTTGCCCTTGTACAAATATTACAATACACTACAAACCTCAAAGATCATTTCTGTAATTTTATAAATTTGAAAATTTGTATAGATATAAATTATAAATATAAATTTTGTATATATATAAATTATAATTATAAATTATATATATATATATATATATATATATATGTATATATACTTTCAACAACTTGATAATTTTTTTTTTTTTTTATCTTTTTGACATTTTGTTTTCTATTTTTATTTTATAATTTTAGTTATTTATGGTTTTTAATGTTTTTATTTATTTTGATTCAAGTAAATAAACTTAAATTTGATAAACCATATTGAAACCTTTTTTTCTTAATTATGAAATGAAACGTTAATGTTTTTTTTTTTTTTTTTTTTTTTTTTTTTTTTTTTTTTTAATTTTATGTTGTTACGGTTTATTTTTATTATTTATTTATTTTTACTTTGATGCTCCATAGTTAATATCGTTAACAACTTTATGTTTGCACTTATCATTATCATTATTTCACATTTTTGTTTTTTTTTTATATTTATATTTAGTTATTTATTATTCTTCTATTGTTTTTATTTATTTTGATTCAAGTAATGAAAAATAGAAAAACAAAAAAACAAAAACTCAAACACCAAAGTTGCAAAATACTCTAATATATTAATATATTTTATAATTTTCATATATATATTTTTTTGTTTTTTCACATTTTTTTATTAATTTTGGTTATTTATGGTTTTCGTATTTTTTTTTATTTTGATTTGTGTAAATAAAAAAGTTACGTTTATTTTCTTTATTTATATTTGTAAATAAAAATATTTTATTTACATGAATCAAAATAAGAAAAGTTATAAAAAGCATAAATAACCAAAATTAAAAAAAAAAAAAATCAAAAAACCCAAACACCAAAATTTTAATATACTCTAATATATTCATACATTTTACACTTTTTGGAAAAGATCAAAGAAAAATTATCAAGTTGATAAAAAAATAAAACGAAAGAACGAAAAAATAAAAATAGGAAATAATTAAAAAACAATATGAAAAAAATTAAAAAAATAATACTAAGAAATTAAAAAAAAAATATGAAAAAACCAAAAAAAGATGAAAATGTAAAATGTATTAACATATTAGAGTATATTAGAATTTGGTGTTTGAGTTTTTATTTTTTGTTTTTCTATTTTTCATTACTTGAATCAAAATAAATAAAAATAATAGAAGAATAATAAATAATTAAAATTATAACAAAAATAGAAAACAAAAGGTCAAATAATGATAATGATAAATGCAAACATAAAGTTGTTAACAATATTAATTATGGAGCATAAAAAAAACACGAACAGTAACGGCATAAAATTAAAAAACAATAACACTTTAATTAACAAATAAGAAAAATTAAAAGAAAAAATAATTTCGACATGATTTATCAAATTTAAGTTTATTTAGTTGATTCAAAATAAATAAAAAATATAACAAAAAACCATAAATAACTAAAATTATATAATAAAAATAGAAAACAAAATATCAAAAAGATAAAAAAAATTATCAAATTGTTGAAATATATATATATATAATTTAAAATTTAGGAAATTACACGAATGGTTCTTAAGGTATGTAATGTATTGTAATATTGGTATAAGGGCAAAATAGTATTTTTCATTAAAATCTAACACCTGAAAAGTTAGATTTAACGACAGGAGCTTTGTTATAATTTTACAAACCATAGGGACCAATCACGTAACTTTTTACTAGAAAGTCCTCGAAATATGCTGTTCTGTAAACCACAGGGACCAATTGTGAAATTTTGTCCAGTATTTAATGCTTTTTGGTTTACATTATCACCAACCAAATTTATTTCTTTAATGCTTTTTGGTTTACATTATCACCAACCAAATTTATTTCTTGATAAGATTAGAATCACCTTTTTTTTCTCTCTACTTTATATCTTGTCTAATAAGTCCATCAATTTAATTCAATTGAGCTGCGACGGTATACTGTGAGGAGAGGAGAGCTAACATACGGATGTACCGGCGCCGGTGTCTGAGAAATAAGAGAAAACCAGCCAGCTATTTCAGAGAAGATAAAGGAGAGAAAATCGAGTGATAGGCGACCCCTGACGGATAGCGGAGACCTGAGGAAGATAACCTTACTTACTGAGTGCCAGATCGACTCCAAACTTACTGTTGTAAACTGATTTCAGTTTTTCCTCCAATTTCATTTCATTTTTCGTTTACCTCTCATTAATACCTAAAAGCAATGAATATGTACAGTGTGGCCCTGCACCCGTTGTATCCCCCCTTGGCGTTGATGCCCTGGGCATAAGCAGAGAAGATCTAGCGATAGGCATTGGCTTCCTCCACCTTTTTTTTTTTTTTCACTTGAAGAAAACTTACATCAACCGACCCATCATGTCTTTTTTATTTTACCACAATCAGTTTGCTCACTTACGGATCCTACTTCAAGAGATACTCTCCGCCACCAACAACTTTTCTAGTGAAAATATCTGCAGACAAGATGGATTTGGACGGGCTTACAAAGGACAACTCTTGCGGTCAGGTGAATTGATTGACATCCTTGCACTGAGGTTAGATCGGGAATCCGATCAAGGACGTATAGAGTTTATGACCGAGGTTTCGATGCTTTCTACACTCAACCATGAAAATCTGGTATCTGTCATTGGGTTTTGTGATGATGACAATGAGCAGATCATCATATACAGACACAAGAGCCATGGAAGTCTCGATGAATATCTAAGTGAGCCTAGGAATCTCACATGGATGCAAAGATTGGAGATATGTGTTGGAGTTGCGCGTGCATTGAGTTACATCCATTATGATAAGGGACACGATTTTAGCGTCATACATGGTAATATCAAGAGCTCCAAGATTTTACTGGAGGATAACTGGAAACCCAAATTATTTGGTTTTCAACTTTCCATGAAAAATACAGCAACTCGAAGACATAGACTTCTTCTTGACGATCTTAAAGGGACGGTAGGGTATATAGACCCAAGATATGAAAAGACTGGAGGCGTAACTTATAAGTCAGATGTGTACTCGTTTGGGGTTGTATTGTTTGAAGTTCTGTGTGGGAGGACAGCATTCAATATTCCTGCTGAAAGGTGTTCAGCACATTCAAAAGAGGAATCAGTTGCTGATGAGATCTTGGAGCATGATCAAGCCGTCAAGCAACAATACAATAATAGAATGCCGGAGGAGGATGAGATCATGGAACAACCACCTGGTCCTGTACTAGATCCCCTAGACATGTGTACGTTTATCAATAGAAGTTATAAGCACCTGCATATGCCAGAAGGGGAATTATTAGCTCCATTGGCCATACTCCATTATGAAGAGAGAAAACTAGACTCTATGATCCATCCGGATCTATGGAAACAAACGGACCCACAATCATTCAACATCTTCTCAGAAACAGCATATTACTGCTTGAAGGAGCAACGATCAGAACGTCCGGAAATAGATCAAATTGTCATAAGGCTTGAGAAAGCACTGAATCTTCAACAGAGACATGAAAATCGTGTAAGTGATCAGGTTTTTTTTTTTGTGTGTGTGTTGTCTTTCATCTGTCTTTTTTTTTTCACATTGAATTGGTTGCAGTTGACATTAAATGAACGTTCAGATGTTGCCACTGAAGTTGAAGGTCCATCAACCAATCATTTGGAGGTAATTGATTTCTTTCTTAGAAAATGGAAAAAGAAATTGAAAGTATTAGGTATATTGATAACACTAGACAGAGAGGTTCTTGCCTCTTATAAGTTATATTAAGGGTGAAACCCGTGGATTACACGGCTTTATTAAAATTAAAAATTTAATATCAATATATAAACATTAAATATTTTATAAATTAATACTTTTACATAACAAAATATAAAATTTTGAAATATTTATAAAAAAATCAAATCGTATGGAGCATTTATGAGAATTAATTTTCAAATTAATATATAGAATTACTCGTTTTCCTGTTAGAATTTTATGGACTTAAAAATAACAAGTGGAAAATAAAAATTCTAAAACTCCTACAAAATAAAGGAAAAGATGACATATGGCAAAATGATTTTTATTTAGTATGGTAGATATAGTGTCTTCTTTCAGATTGAAACGAAATGTCTTTGCTAACCAACATTAGAATTATGTCTTAAACTATGGGATTGAAATGTTGTTGTTGTGAGACTTTTTAGCTTTAAGTTAAAGCATTCACTCTCATACGTTAAAATACACAATTCAATGCCCATATATAATTTCCCCTTCAAATGCAATGTTGTCTTGCAGTGGGAGACCCTGGAACACTTGAAGATTGGATTTCATGATATAGAGTTGGCCACTGAGAATTTTTCTCAAACACACTGCATTGGATCAGGTGCATATGGTAAGGTGTATAAAGCAGAACTCAAACATGTTGATGGCCAAAATTCCTCGAAAATAGAAGGGAAGAATGTATGTGATCTCCCCAAGATACACAGCACCGTAGCTATAAAATGCATCTTCAAAAGAGAAGACGCACAAGATGAAAAAGGATTCTGCGCAGAAATTAAAATACTTACCAGTTGCAAGCATCCCAACATAGTCTCTCTTCTTGGTTTTTGTGATGAAAAATCACAGATGATTCTTGTGTACGAGTATGTGTCCAGGGGAAGCCTTGATGATTATTTGAGGGGAATTCATAACATGATTAATCTTAAATGGATACAGCGTCTGCAAATGTGTCTTGATATTGCAGAGGGACTAAATTACCTTCACAACCAACAGAGTATAATACACCGCGACATAAAGAGTGACAACATTCTGTTGGACGATAATTGGGTGGCAAAGATTGCTGACTTTGGGCTCTCCAAATTGGGTCCCATATCTGAACAGGTCAGTTATCTGGAGACAAATGTTGCAGGTACAAATGTGTACTTGGATCCAGAATATGAGAAGACGCATAGGCTGAAAAAAGCATCAGATATATATTCTTTTGGAGTAGTTTTATTTGAGATCATGTCTGGAACTTTGGCCTATGATACAAAGTACATGAAGGAAAATGACAAGGGGCTTGCATCATTTGTCAGACAACACTTCCAAAAGGGAACACTGAAGGATATTTTAGATCCAAAGCTAAAGGAAGAATTTGATGAAAACATTAATTTCACTCTTAGCAAAGGGCCCAATAAAGATTCGTTGGACACATTTTTAGATATCGCATATCAATGTTTGGCAGAAACTCAAGCTCAACGTCCAAAAATTGCAACTGTCATCAAGGAACTCAAGAAAGCATTATACTTTCAAGTACGTAACGTAACGTAACGGCCTGTTTTGAGTTACTCATTAATATTTGCAACTCAGGCGAATTTATGTAGTAGCTATGTGGTCCGAGGACCCATCTAATTATTTTTTAAGTTTACTTACAATTTCTCTACTATTTTTTTTTTTTTTGGAACTGCCTATAAATGTTTTCTAGTACCTACGTACCATATCCCATAAAATTTTAGAGTTTCTATAGATTTTTTTAATTTTTATTTTTATAAAAAAGTAACAAAAATCACGTAATATTTTAGAGTTCTATTCTAGATTTACCTCTAATTTGAAGGTTGTACTTAGATACTAAATTTTGGGTCGTACTACTTCATTAAAAGTAATTCACACAATGTCTGGTACAGTAGCATGCACATATATTGATTAAAATATTTAATCACCAATATATTGAAATTTACTATTTTTAAAGATAAAATAATTTTGTTGAGCAGTGTTAATGAGTAAAATATACTTGTTAAAAACTGTGCTGTGCAATGAAAATATTTCTTGTTTCTTGTTAATAAACAGGGACATCCTCAATATTCAATTGCTGCATAAGACAAAATTAAGAATTAGTATTACATTAGTTATTAGTTCATTTGTTCAAAATATACCAACTGATCACTCTTAGAGTACTTGATTACGAGTAGTCAAACATTTTATCTTTCATGTTCAAGATGGTAAATTTAAATAAGGTTTTCATATGTGTTAAATTACAATTGGTTTTTCAAATTGATTATTGTGTCCCAATACTATATTATTCACAGGAAAACCACACGGACAATCTCAAGATTTCACTTGAAGACATAAAATTGGCCACGGACCACTTCAGTATACACAATTTTGTTGCAAAAGGAGGGTTTGGGGCAGTATACAAGGGAGAAGTTACAAACGCGAATGGAGGTCACACCACTGTTGCTGTAAAGCGATTGGATAAAGATAGTAGTCAAGGAAAAACTGAATTTTTGACTGAACTTGAAATTCTTTTGGAATATAAACATGAGAATATCATTGGCTTAGTAGGCTATTGCAACGAAATGGGTGAAAGCATCATTATTTATGAGTACGCGTCAAGAGGAAGTCTTAATAAATACGTGAGGGACGATGGCCTTACCTGGATGAAACGGCTTCAGATATGCATTGATATTGTGACCGGTTTGGATTTTCTTCATGAGGATGCGGTTATACATAGAGACATCAAAAGCTCTAACATTCTACTAAATGATGAATGGAAAGCAAAAATTGCTGATTTTGGGATTTCCTTGATAACTCCAATAACTAAGGATATGGACTTTATCATTGAGGCTGCAGCGGGCACATTCGGCTATTTGGACCCGGTATACTATCATACTGGAACCTTAGCAAGAGAATCTGATGTGTATTCACTAGGCGTGGTTTTATTTGAGATGTTGTGCGGAAGATTGGCTTTTCAGAAAGATAGCGGGTTTCTAGGTGTATTGGCTGAACGAAAATGCAAGGAGGGAAAACTTGATGAGATCGTGTTTAAAGGTATAAAGGACCAAATTGCGCCAAAATCGTTCACTACATTTCAAAGCATAGCCTTTCAATGCTTACAACCCAAGAGAGAAGAGAGACCAACAACAGGTGAGGTGCTACGACGAATTAAGCAAGCACTGGAATTTCAAGTAAGTTTTCATATTCGTTGGTAATATATGTTAAATATGCGGATAAAAAGGTATTAAGGCCAGCTAAACGGTAGAAAAATGTTTGTTCAATCGATCCTTTACAAGTATTAAACACTGTTTTTTCATTAATAATAAACAAAGAAAGTTTATTTTTAGCAAATAAGGAGGATAATACCTTGAAAGTTGAAACCATGTTTTGTTGGATTTTTTAGTCTATTTTTGAAGTAAAATAATAAATAAAAAGATTTTTCTAGATATAAACAAGTGTTTTGATGCAATATATAACTGAAATATGTATTTTTAATTGTTTAACTAATACAGGAGGACTATGAAATATGGGAACCCAAATTGCCTAATGATTATAAAAAAATAATCCCCGAGATGTACAATATTACTAAAAGGGAAAAGGACCTGTATGACTTGCTCTCCAAAGGCGTCCTCCTTCAAGAAGACCAAGTGGTAATTAACACATTTTCATGCCCAATCGTTTTGTGTTCTCTACATGCCTCACAATCTCACATCATTTTGCTCTTTAGAATCAATAAATTAAAACCAATACATTGTTTCTATTTGTTGCTGTATGTAAATTTACTAAATTGATTTTGTCACTTGAATATATGCTGAATAACCGGAAACTCCTCCAACCTATAATTTAATTACTCTTACACATGATCGATTATGCACAACTGCTTACCAAATGCCACAACAAACTAAAACTACGTGCATTTATAAACTAGTTTTCATTGATTTATGATAGTCGTTAATATTTTTTTTTATGTAATTGATCTTTTCATACAAACTATATATTGAGATCATTATAATTGTGGAGAACAGTCTGAAATCATACATGCATTTATTTACATATAATAGGAATTGGGTTTGATTTGTTTTGTTTTGTATGATAGTTGTTTTCTCTAGGCCGTAATGGAGAAAAAAATGAAATGATATCAGCAAAAAGGCTCTCGTACATAAAACATTGTCCACATATATGGCGATCAGTCCTTGAATCCAGGTATCATTCTCTTTTTTTATGTATGTGTGTGTGTGCGCTTATATTTTTCTTGTAAACATACACCATTCTTGGATCTACTAAATTATATATATATATATATATATATATATATATATATATATATATATATATATATATATATATATATATATATATATATATATTTGTGGGAAACTAAAGGCATTACTAATAAAAAATGACAAGCATTATATAATATGTTGCAAAATGTCCAGGTTTCAGGTTGTAGCGGAGGTGTTAGATATTTTGAATCTAAAGATTAAAATCAAGACAAGAGCTAAACTTTTATCTCAAGACGTCGTTTATGGGGTTTATTTAGTCTTTAAATTTTCTAATCCAAAAGCAGTTTTAGGTAAACCTCTGTATGTGAACCTAAAGTACAAAATTGGGAGAAAATCCTCACATGCATATTTTGCAACATGGAGAGACAACGACTGGATGATGATCGAGTTGTGCCGATTTTTTAATAACAAGACAGATACCGTTCATAAGTTTTTACTTGAGAGCTTTTCACGATACTACTGTGGAGATAATACCATATTTGTTGAAGGCGTTGAGTTTCGAGCCATTGACAATGCAAGTTTTATAATATACTCTTTGGTCACCATTCTAGATTCTTAATTTGTTTATATTTTTGAACAATGTAACTTACACGTTTATAACATTATGCCACAACTTTTATACAGGTGAAACATGAAGACATCCAAGAATTAAATGAAGTCCAACAAATCTTGAAATCAGACTCAAATATGGATGTATTACAATTGCCAACAAAACATGAAGAAATGGTTATGAGACCCAAAAACATTGATAATGATGAACAGGTTCTTTTTTTATTGTTAACAAAATTTATCTATAGGTCCGAGAAATTCTTTGCGGTTTTGTGTTAATTTCTCTATAAACCTTTCGATGAACAGTTGTTTTGGTTGCGTGAAGTGAATGGAAAGAAACATCTTACGCTTTCTGCAAAGGCAGCTCTCTATGACTATTCTGATGTAAAACTTTTTAAAACAAAACCATCAGCTCAATCCAGGTTTGCTTTTGAACTAATTAAGTCGTTCTAAACATGAAAGCATTCCCCATTTAAGCCCATAAAAGAAGTTTGTAATAGCTATCTTTACCCAAATTCTTGAAACTTTCTTATAAACCAGATGTAATAAATGAAAATCCTATTATTGTCTACTGAATAATAAAAATATCAATGATTCATCATTATGTATAGATGATTGGTTGTCAAAAGTTTTATTCATTGGAAGTGTTTTTTCATGCCTTCAAAATTTTATACCCAAAGAAACATGAAATCAATCACAAAATATGTGTACATGCAGATTTCAGGAGGTGATCGAGCTTCTACTACAGCAAATATTTCGTATCAATTGCAAGATTACAAGTCAGATGTTATCACCAGATACAGAGTACGCTTGTTACCTGGTGTTCAAGCTTTCTGATAAATGTCGTGGGTTGCATTGTCCGGTGAAAGTACGAGATCTACTCCACAGGAACAACAAAGAGGTTAAAATTATTTATTTTAGAACCCCAAGCCCATGGAATTTACATGATACTAATTGTGCTCCAGAACTAAGGGCAGATGGATGGATGGAGGTTAAGATCTGGAAATTCAACTTCACTCAAGAAATTAAAAATCATCGTCCACGTGTGAATTTGAAATTGATTAGTTATGAAGGGACTATGTCCGGGCTTATTGTATGTGGCCTTGAGTTTCGGCCAATGTAACAACATATATAAGGTGGAGTAGGCCCTCTCATGTAGTGTAGTCAGCCTAACCCATTTACTCAAGTAAACCGGTATATATTTTGAATTGAATAAGAGAAGATCTTTATAAGGAAAATAAAAGCATAGGATGCATGGTAGCAAATGCGAGTACTTTTTTTTTTTGGGTGCTGTTTTGGAAACCATTTGTACAAATGGGTCTATTTCAAATTATTTTGTACAAATAGGGCTGTTCCCACATATTTCCTTTGGTAGTTTAAAATGTTAGAGTTTCAACTCTCAATCTTATACCATATCTTATATAAAAAAAATGATTATTTTTCCGCCATTGGACCTGATAACGATTAAGATTTTTGTGCTTGTTGTTTGCTAGTTATTTAAGTAAAATATTTATTGGTTTCCATAAGATATCGATTTTTGAACATTTGATTAGTTTTTTTTTTCAATGGAAAGATCATTTCTCATTCCCGGGTTTCGGTTTCATCCCACTGATCATGAGTTTGTAATGTACTATTTGAAGAGGAAGTTATTGGGGAAGAGAATCATTGTCAATGCTGTTGCAGAGATCAATATTTATGAGTTTAGTCCGCAAAACCACCACCTGCTGCCATCCCTTTCCTTGTAGCTGCTGGAAATCGGAAGTTCAATGAAAGGAACGCGACCTAATTTTTCCATATTGAACAAGGGCAGTGCCATCGGTTGTTCCAGTAAGAGTATGTATGAATATACATTCAGGTGTCCACGAGTAAACAACGATCTTGTTATTTTTCAACTACTGATTCAAAGATGTTATCTTTCTTCAAGAAATTTATTTAATCAAAATATGTATTTTGTCAGAAAATATGTATCCTACCATTATCATAAAATATTATTCTAACAAAATATCATTCTGATATAATAAAATTATGTATAATTAAAAATTACGTTAAAATTAAAATTGAATTATTTAAAAAAATCAGAATTTTAAATCAAGACAATTAATTATCTCCAAAAATCAGGAATTTTTGTTTAAATTTGTCTCAATTGACTAAAATACCCTTATAGTGAAATTAGATAGTATTTCTCAATTATTTTTAATTCAATAATATTTATTAATCACTTTCTTAAAATATCTAAAATAAATGGTTCACAATCAACCCTACATCCACACAATAAATAGTTATAATAAAATAACCTAAGCGTATATATATATATATATATATATATATATATATATATATATATATATATATATATATATATATATATATATATATATATATATATATATACACAGTGGCGGACCTTAGTGGTGCCCTACGGTCCCGGGACACTGCTCCGATGCCGGCACGTAGTGTAATTTTTTTTTTAATGTTTTTTCTATTTGGTGCACCGGCTTAAAACATGAGTGACACTACTAATATAGATTTATTTGAAATTTTTTTTTAGTGCCACCCTTTCGAAAATGTTCTGCGTCCGCTACTATATATATATATATATATATATATATATATATATATATATATATGTGATTCATTTCAGTTTTTTCCTAAGAAAATATGTATATAAAAAATTTCTTACCTTCCTACAAAAAGTTTCCTTCTTATTTGATCTTGACTATATATATATATATATATATATATATATATATATATATATATATATATATATATAGTCAAGATCAAATAAGAAGGAAATTTTTTGTAGGAAGGTAAGAAATTTTTTATATACATATTTTCTTAGGAAAAAACTGAAATGAATCTTTAGATGATTCAAAAGTAAGATGATTCACAAGAAAAAACTCTTGGAAAACCACTTTTATGATTAATGTTTAGTTAAATCAAGAAAAAAAAATCACTTTTATGACAATTTTAGTGAATATCAACAAAATCATCGTAAAAATGAATCATCGAAATGTTTTTTCGGGATTTTTTTATGAATCATGTTATTATTGATTCATCTAATGATTCATTTATTTTGTTCGCCAAAAAAATAAGCCGAAAAAAAATTTCTTACCTTCCTACCAAAAAAATTTGTTACCGGATCTATATATATATATATATATATATATATATATATATATATATATATATATATATATATATATATATATATATATATATGTGGAAAGCTAAATTCAACTGCTTTTTCATTTCAATTATGATAAATCTTTACAAGAAATCTAGGAATAGAGACTATTACTAATACCAACATTATATGTTGCAAAATGTCTAGATTTCGTGTAGTAGCAGAGGTGTTAGATATTTTGAATTTAAAGATCAAAATCAAGACAAGAGCTCAACTGTTATCTCAAGATGTCGTTTATGGGGTTTATTTGGTCTTCAAATTTTCTAATCCTAAAAATGTTTTAAGTAAACCTTTGTATGTGAACCTAATGAACAAAATTGGGAGCAAAACCTCAAATGCATATTTTGCAACACCGAGAGACAACGAATGGATGATGATTGAGTTGTACCGATTCTTGAATAACAAGACAGATACCGTGCATAAGTTTTTATTGGAGAGCTTTTCAAGATACTACTTGACCTACAGGAAAAGGATAAGTTGTTTTACTTCCAAGACGGACTACAATCTCGGGCTTACAATGAGCTCAAGAGGAGGAACGTCTAAGATGTCAACGAAGCAATAGCTGTGGTGGAAGATCTTATGGACTTTCGAAGAGATACTCCAGCCAGAAGGATGAGTGGAGGAGATAAACCCATACCCCGACCGCCACAAAGGGAGGATAGGCCCATTGCCAAACCCTCAACTTTCAAAGGAAAAGCGGTTGACGCAGGACCCCAAAAGGAGGTGAAGTGTTATCTATGTGACGGACCCCATGTAATAAGGGACTGTCCGAAAAAGAAAAGCTTCAACGCCATGGTATTTGAAGATGAAAATGAAGAAGCTCATTTAAGCTTAATGTAACTTCTCGACTATGTGGAAAAAGAAGAAGCTATGGAGGAAAAGGGGAATAGAAAAAAAGGGATGTGGTCCAATGTTCGTCAGTGCCAAGCTAAACGAAGAACATGTTAAAACCCTTATTGATACAGGTGCGTCTCATACCTTTCTATCTGCAAACGAGGCCAAGAAGATGAATATTCAATATTAAAAAGAGATAGGCTAGTTGAAAGTAGTAAACTCCCCATCCGAACCTATCCTTGGGGTTGCTCGTGGAATTCCGATCGAGATTGGAGGATGGATAGGCACGATCAATTTAACAATAGTGCCCATGGATGATTATCCACTAGTGCTAGGAATGGAATTCCTAGACGAGGTACGCCCTTTCTCATTTGAAGAACAAACCATGCATATAACTAAGGGCTCGACAATACATATTATACCCATAGAAAGAAATAAGACGGAGTCTCGAACCCTATCAGCCATGCAACTTAATAACGGACTTCAAAAGGGTGAAATAACTTTCTTAGCGACACTCAAAGAGAATGACCACATATCCCAGATAGAAGTACCCACAGAGATAAAGAATGTGCTTGAAGAATTCAAAGATGTGATGCCGCCAGAGTTGCTGAAGAATCTACCACCTAGGTGAGAGGTAGATCATGAAATAGAGTTGGAGCCGGGAGCAAGACCACTGGCGATGTGGCCTTATCGAATAGCACCCCCTGAGTTGGAAGAACTTAGGAGACAATTAAAAGAGATGCTAGACACTGGATTCATAAGACCTTCAAAGGCCCCGTTCGGAGCACCGGTGTTGTTCCAAAAGAAGCATGGAGGTAGTCTAAGAATGTGCATTGACTATCGAGCATTAAACAAATTAAAGGTGAAAAACAAATACCCCCTTCCTAAAGTAGCATATCTTTTCAACCAACTAGTAAAGGAACGATGGTTCTCGAAGCTAGACCTGAGATCTAGATATTGGAAAGTGCGCATAGCAACCGGCGATGAGCCAAAGACGACATGCATAACCAGGTACGGATCGTTCGAGTTCTTAGTCATGCCCTTCGGATTAACCAACGCACCTGCCACATTTTGCACCTTAATGAATATGATATTTCATCCCTTCTTGGATAAATTCGTTGTGGTGTACTTGGACGATATTGTGGTGTATTCGGAGTCGTTGGAAAAGCATGTTGATCATTTACGCTTGGTCTTCCAAGTACTCAAGGAAAACTAACTATATGTTAAGATGGAGAAGTGCTCCTTCGCCCAACCTGAAGTATCCTTTCTAGGGCACAAGATTGTTGATGGAAAGATCCATATGGATGAAGGCAAAGTACGGGCCATCGTTGAATGGGAGCCACCTAAGAATGTTTTTGAGTTACGATCATTCCTGGGCCTAATAAACTACTATCACAGATTCATCTCAAGGTACTCGGCTAGAGCTACACCGCTAACCGACCTTCTAAAAAAGAAAGTAATCTAGGAATGGACCGAGAAATGTCAAGGACCATTTGACGATTTAAAGAATGTCGTCACGAAAGAACCTGTCTTGAAGCTTCCAGATTACTCCAAACCCTTCTTAGCGCAAACAGACGCATACGACTTTGCGATAGGGGGAGTCTTAATTCAAGAAGAACATCTGGTGGCCTACGAAAGTTGAAAATTAAATGAGACAGAACAAAGGTATACTATACATGATAAGGAAATGACAGCGATCATCCATTGTCTTCGGGTATGGAGGCATTATTTGCTTGGGAGCCGGTTCATAATTCAAACCGATAATGTAGCTACTAGTTACTTTCAAAATCAGAAGAAACTTAGTCCGAAACAAGCACGTTGGCAAGAATTTCTAGCTGAGTTTGATTATATCATGGAGTACAAACCCAGGAAAGCCAACATTGTTGCCGACGCTTTAAGTCGCAAGGCAGAAGTAGTAACTCTTACCTTTGCAACGTGTACCCTTGGCGATCGAATAAAAGAAGGGTTGAGCCATGACTCACTAGCCAAGAACTTGATGGAGATGATTAGAGAAGGAAATACAAGAAA